CAGAATTCAAACTACGGAATTAGAATTGAGAATTTTAATTCCAATTCTGGTGTTTGGTAGCACAAAAATTATGTGGATTTGGAATTGATAGTGCAAAAAATGAATTGAAATCGGAAGAATTCATTCTATAGAATTGAATCCAATGGAATTTCAATTCCAATTCAATTCCAATTCCATCAAATTTCGTATACCAAACGGACCCTAATGGAAATTAAAAAAAACGTGCAAAATATAAAACAGCGAGTTTGGTGGGCATATTAAAAGTGGGGGAGCTAAGATTGGATTAAGTTCATTGAACGCAGCTACATTTTTTGAATCGGACTTCCCAACCATCCATGCTAAAAGAGTCCATTTCATTTCGACATCTGGGCCCCACTTTGCTTGTCGGTCCTTATAATTCCCTGAATTAAATCATTGTTTGGAAAGTCTTTGAAACAGTGAATTAAAATACCCAATTTCTGATTGATTTGATTCTTAACATTGTGTGTTAATACAATTCAATATGAATATTTAATGGTTATGCCCAACATTCAAATAAAAGAAATTAACAATGTAAATACTCCGGAGTATATGTGAAAAATCAATTTGTACAAAGACGAGGGTGCAATTTTTAATTTTTTTCTTCTGAGAAGACATTTCGTTTTCGTAGGAGTATTAGTCGACCAATGCAACTTGGGGTGCAGCGTAGGCCTACCATATAACGCCAACAGAAAGAAGAAAAAAAAAAGAAAAGAAAATAAAAGAAGAAGAAGACCAGCTTCGTGCAATTGTTCCAAATATGCCCCCACCATAGTTGACTTTATTTATCATCATATCAAATTATCAATCCATCCACTTGTTCATACTTTGCGGCTAAACTATCATTGGACTTGAAAACCATTGGACTTGAAACCGTGTGGAATGTTTGGGAGTTTAATTTTGTCTCTTGTTTTACAACTCCATTTTTTAATGGTACGAATTAGAGATGAACAAAAATATCAGATAAGTCAGACTGGGTCGGTCTCTTGAAAAGATCGATCGATTTAGTTTTTTTTAAAAAATTAGTTCGGACTAGTCTAATTTTCATAAAAAAAATAAGAATTTTTCTGGACCAGATAGTCCTGTTAAGACCAGTCCAGTTTTAAATTATGTATAATTCTTAATTTTTTGTTATTAAAAAAAGTAATTGAAAAAAAATCTTATTTTTGATTATTTCATTTCTTTTTTCCATACTTCAATGATTTATAATAATTATGCAATATGAATACTATCATGGAAGCTGGTTAGAATTAACAAAGAAATAAACTTAATATACATGTTTTATAGGTACAATCTTTTTTATCACTTATTTGCAAAATTTTTTAAAAAATTATCTATGTACTATGCTCTATATTGATAGAATAAATATATTTCTATAAAAAGTAAACTCTAAACTACAAATATACATATATGCATAGTCTTTCATAAAACATCAATGACCAAATCAGACTACCAGTCCAAGTCCAAGACCGGACCGGTCTCAAGGACCACATTGGTCTAGGGGTGGACACGGTACGGTTCCGGTTCCGGTACCGCCACCCCTTGGTACCGGTACCGGATCGGCTGGTACCGGCGGTTCCAGTTCCGGTTCCGGTACCGTTTTGGCCACCCATAATTTTTTTTTTTTGCTTTTTTATTAAATTTTTAAAGTGTAGAATTATAAATGTGTAATTGTTAAAAGAAAGGATGAAATAAAAAACTCTAAAAATGAAATTAATAAAGGAAAGAATGAAATAAAAAATAAAAACAAAAAAAAAATTAATTACGGTACCGGTACCGAAAAATGGGCACCGGAACCGGTACGGGTACCGGTTCCCGGAACCGGTGGACCGTCCCGGCCGACGGTAACGGTACCGGTACCGGCGGTACCGTTTCCGGTCACGGTACCGTACCGGTACCGTGTCCACCCCTACATTGGTCCCATCTTTTCGGTTTCAATCACAATCTACCCCGATTAATCTTTTTGGTCATAGCCTTTATGTTCATTACTAGTACAGATGAATATTACTCCATCCGTCTAGAAATATTCTTTTCATTTTACTTTTAAAGTTTTTCAATATTGCACCTTGATCATTAAGATTTATATTTTATAAGAAATGACATTTCAAATCTAGTTATGTTAAGAATATATTGATATTAAATTTATATCTTAATACAATATATTTTTCTATATATCGAAGTCAAAGTTTACAAACTTTGGCTATAAAAAATCAAATGTAAAAAACATTTTCAGACAAAGGGAGTTTAAAAATTATTAGAGCAAAATCATTTGAATACTTGACAGAAGTTATTTTTACACTCTCTTCGTCCCAGAATGAATAGTTGACGGAAGTTATTTTTAACACAAATCATTTAAGAAATGGAGAAAAATTTTAAAAATAAAATTTACATATTAAAAATTACTCCCTCCGTCCTAAAATTAAATTCCCAGTTTGACTTTTGTAGTCAAACTTTTTAAACTTTGACCGTGTATAACGGAAAAAATACATTGAATTTTCATATAAATTTATTAGCAATAGATTCATTTTGAAACATAGTTTTGAAATATATAATTTTTATAAAATATATTTATATAAAAATTGAGATATTGATGGTCAAAGTGTCGCATTGTAGACCGTGAAAAGTTAAATGGGAAGTTAATTTTAGGACGGGGGGAGTATATAAAAACTCCACGAAACAAATGTGACATGAATATTAACAAAAAATAGGGATACAAAGAGAATAACGTTTGACTTTGTAAATTGTAAATATGAAATTTAACTTGAGACAGAAGTCAAAGAGGGAGTAGAACTTTTTTGTGAAAAAGACTAAAGTAAAAGTAAAACATTAAAATATACCAAAATACAAATTTGTATGTTTTTACTCTCAAAATAAAAGTTAACATGCATTTATAGTGTCAATCATGACTATATACATGCACATTACTCTCAAAATATACATGTACAATGTCATATTGCCACGCTGCAAACTCCTGTTTAAGGAATAAAACTATGAAACTTCTATTTTGATATTTTTTTTATGTTTTACTCATATTTAGAGTTATTTCTTAAACTTTTTATATACTTTTAAACAGTACTTCCTCCGTTCCATAAAACTCTTCCTCTTTCATTTTTATTCAATTCCTTAAAACACTTCCAATTTCTATTAAAAAACTATTTTTACCCCCACTTTTTCATACCCTACCTATCACATACTCCCTCCGCCCCTAAATAGATTATGATTTTTTTCTCTCCTCTCGATAACTTTTGTTTGTTTACACGATTTCATTAAGTATTTGATAAAATAAAATAATCCTGTCACCTCTTGTTTTGTAGAACTTTTGACGTAGTTTTTTAATATGTATTGTTTATATCTTATTGATATACCAATTTGCAAATAAAATGATTTCAAAAAGTAAAAAATTTTGCTCCGTAACCCGCAATTTGTAATCAAATTGGGGACGGAGGGAGTAATACTTTTTTCACTAATAACTAAACTATTACATCTTACTTTTACCCATCAGATCAGGGACAAAATTGAAAAGTAAACCAAAATTACACCTTTCTTATTTTGATCCAAAGTAAAAAAAAGGAATGCTTTAAAAGAACGGAGGAAGTATAATTTATATTTTTTTATTTCTAAGCTTGTTGTAATTAAAACAATTTAAAAGTCATAAAATTTCACACGTTGAGATTCATTATGGAATTGGGGAAAGTATAAAAATAAGTTTGTTATTTGTGTTTTAAGTAGATTCATTCATTCTTTTACTACTATCGTTCTTATTAGTGGGCCTAGTTTGAACCCATAAGTTTTAAGTTCGAGGTCGAGACATGATATATATCCCATCAGGCGAGAGGGACTCTGGACATAGGCCTTGTTTGAGAACCCTATTTTCGATTAGCGTTAACGTTTTGCATAAAATTTTAATGGTGTAGATTAAATCTGAAACGCTAATGCTAAAGGCTAGCGTTAGATAGCTTTTTCAAAACGCTAACGCTAGTCTCTAATGCTGATGCCAAACGAGGCCTTAATAAAAACAAAGGGATGCTTAATTCTAAACTTGTTCAGGAAACCCCCACCTAAACAAAAGGAGAGGAAAACTATAACAAGAAAATAGTCCTCGTACATGTCACCACATGAACCGAGGTAGGTGCTCGTGCGGGCCGAACCAGATTTCAGGCCGGGCCAAAATGCTATATTATAGGAAAAAATTTGAAACTCAAGCACGGCACTCTCGAGTACATGCGGCTTTGGACTGCCCCGCTCACGTTGAAATTTAGTTTTAATTCAAGCATTGTACTCGATGGTAAAAATTAGCGGAGTATAACCAAATGGACCCAAAGTCAAAAAAGGAATGGTTTTAAGGAACGGAAGGAGTATAATTTATATTTTTTATTTCAAAGCTTGTTGTAATTAAAATAATTTAGAAGTCATAAAATTTCACATGTTGACATTCATTATGGAATCGGGGGAAATATCAAAACAAATTTGTTATTTGTGTTTTAAGTAGATTCATTCATTCTTTTAGTACTATCGTACTTATTAGTGGGCCTAGCTTGAACCCATAAGTTTTAAGTTCGAGGTCGAGACCTGATATATATCCCATCAGACAAGAGGAACTCCGGACTTAGGCCTTGTTTGTGAACCCCATTTTTTATTAACGTTAGCATTTTGGATAAACTTTTAATGGTATAGATTAAATCTGAAACGCTAATGCTAAAGGCTACCATCAGATAGCATTTTCAAAACGCTAACGCTGATGCCAAACGAGGCCTTAATAAACAAGGGGATGCTTAATTCTAAACTTGTTCAAGAAAACCCCACCCGAACAAAACGAGAGGAAAACCATAACAAGAAAATAGTACTCAGCACATATCGCCCCATGAACCGAGGAGGTAAGTACTCGTGCGGGCCAAACCGGATTTCAGGCCAAGCCAAAATGCTATATCACAGGAAAAAAATTTGAAATCCAAGCACGGCACTCTCGAGTACACGCGGGCTTTGGACCGCCCCACTTGCGTCGAAATTTAGTTGTAATTCAATCATTGTATTCAATGGAAAAAATTAGCAATATAGAATACGAGTATAACCAAAGGGACACAATGGTAATTGTGGCTCCAAAATGGACAAAATCACCCCCCATGGCATAAGAGCCAAGCACGCCCACCCTATCATTTTAGGGACAGGCATTCTTATTTTTACTCTCTGGGGCAAAGAATCCATAAGATAAATATGAATACCGTTTACCGCCATTTTTTTTTTGAATTTGCAAATGCTATAGAGTTTGGTGCATAAATAGTTAGGCCGGGGGGTTGTTCTGTACACAGAAACTGAATTTCTCATGGAGCTGCTTTCTTGGTTTGGCAGCTTTACTGATTAATGTATAGATATAGAGCGTCATTGAAGCATGCCTGCAGCCAAAGAAACACCCCATCAACACCTTCAAAGCAAAAGCTAATGTGTGTGTGCGTGTGTACACACACACACACACACACACATTAAAGGATTTTGGTTCAAATGAGAATAGTGCATAGTGAAAGAAATGAGAATGCATACGATAATCAGATTTAAGATCTAAGGGCTATTAAAAATCAAAAAATTTGAAAAAATGAAAAAACCGCGGTGGCAATTTGGTAAATAAATTAAACTTTTTGAAAATGCACTACTACAAGCGTAAAATGCATCACAACGGCTATTCTCATATTCTCATAGTAAGGATATTTTCACATGAACCAACTCTTGTATTAGAGCATATAACGTCTCCTAGGCCTACAACCACAAGCTTTTAGTTGAGTTGGTTTCTTGATACAACTCTCATGGAATGATATTTTGGTGGGATGAAGACATGGTTGCCATCCATTTCAAAAAGTGACAATATTACAAAAAAATGACACCTTCCTTTTGATTGGCTCACATGGCTCCATCCCATATATGTATATCATAGGAGCTTACCTCCCAAAAAAATGAGCATTCTGAGTTTCTTCAGAAATTGAGACCTATACAAGAAAATGATCGATCATATGTTGTATAACGTCTGCGCCTTCTGAATGCGCACTCTGGGCTTTCACCTGCAATTTTACAGCTGGAAAATATGAGCTTTTGGCTTTCTATTGTTTTCAGTTCCAATTCCATTCGCTAAAGAAACAATTCAAACATGAGACCTGGATGATACTATGAGCTGCAAATTTAATTTTGCTGCTATGGAAGCTGACGTCTACTTTCTCCCATGGCACACGAGATAAGAGAGTCACCAATTCCTCTGCATCATCATGAATCCCAGAGATAAAAGAACATTAGTCACCAATTTACCGCTTTTTTTTTGGTGAGGTAAAACTATAAATCATTAATCCCACAAATAACTTTAAAAACACTTTGAATAAAAAAACTCTTTTCTTCTAAAGAGTGAAGAATAAAAACTGAGCCTAGTTTTCTTCTGAACATGAAGAAAGACACAAACCTTCCAGCTTGTCTTGAGAATCGTCTTCCACTACAATGGAATCACCAAGATCACCATCACTTGCCTTGCACTGCTCTTCGTACACAATGTGGGGATATTTTTCGTTCAAGGACTCTTCCCACTACAATCAATAGATTATTAAGAAACCAAAATAGCAACAAAAAGATGTAACAAAAAATGTGTAAACAGTACACCTTGGGCAGTTCACTATTTCGTCTTATGCATGAAGTTCTCCAACCAACGATATCTAAACAAGAAACTATTAAGGAAAAGAGATATTCAGTATGAAAAGTAAACGGAACGTTAACTGATGATCCAACAACAACGGAACTAGGATACGATCATTAGCAACATTTGAATAAGCCACCCGACGCTTGAAGGAACGCAAGGCAGACCTGGAAACATGAGTTTTGAAAGGACATAATGATTGTTGTTTCAAAGGAAGGCCATCCAATGATTTTGTGTATAAGGACATAATGATTGTTGTTTCAAAGGAAGGCCATCCAATGATTTTGTGTATACTAAAAGGTCGTTGAAATATCATACATGAATAGCAATTCACCATCATCTTCTACCATGCGCCTGAGTAATGGAGGTTTCCCTTCATCATCATCCCTTAGGAAAAGGTGCCGGCCAGTTCTCCTGAATATCAAATGAATCACATGGCCTGCAACTTTCTCAAAGGCAGTAACTCCAAAAAGAAATGGCACCTGACCATTAGCTATAAACAGTTAGGGAAGAAAGAAATACAACTGAGAATGCTTAGTAGAGAAGTCCTATTTAAAAACAAGAAATAGTTGATTCTCTTCTTACATATAGAAAATCTACATTTCACTAGATTTAGGAAGACATATGACAGGATTTAATCTTACAAGAGACCAATTGAATGACAATTACTAGCTAGAGTCTAGGTCTAGAGAATCCATGGCTCATCTATTAACACATAGAAATAATCCATTCTTGAAGTTAAAAAGGTCAGAATGATGTTAAGAAACTTGAAGCTATACATTTTATGCCTCCAATCAAATGCTTAGCTGTCTCACTCAGCAGTTGGGGAAAAGCATTAGCACAGTTATTATCACTTCAGACATAAAAGGCTTCAGACATTCATTCAAAAAATGTGTCGTCTAATGTTGTATATGAAGGTGGATGTACTGCTCCAGCACATTAAGTTTTATCATGTAAAAAAATTGTTAGACAGGACCAACCGACCAAATCAAAGCAAAGTAGAATATTTTATTGATGTAAAAACTGTACAGGATTATTTGTGTTCACTAAATATATATAGAGAACAGACCAACATGACTTTTACTAACCAACACAACTATTACAAACCAACACACCTATTAACAATAGAAACTACCCATAACTGCCTTTTAGAAACTGCCCTATTGTTTTTTTTATTTAAATTAATTAAATATGTAAAACACACTAAACGACACCACACTAATTGACTCTATACTAACTGACCCAAACATCGACTCATTACTCATTCGGTTATATGTGAACAAACCCGATTAAATCTAACAATCACGCCCTTAATCGTTGTTTGTTCACACTGATCTTCACAACAACGTTGGTTCATCATCTTCAATCAAGTTTGCAATCTGTTCCTTTTGATCCCATTTTGGACATTCGTTCAAAAAATGCCCTAACTCATTGCACTTGAAGAACCTAATGCAACTCTTTTCCCGCTGAAACTGTCCACCATCCCGACTTTTCCCGGACCCCCGACCTCTACCTCGGCCACGTCCAAAGTCTTCTCGGTTTGAGCTCCAGCAACCACAATGCTCAGTTTTGTGCTCCTTAGCATTCTCTTTTCCATCACTTTTAGTGAATAGTAGTTTACCTTGCATATCTTCTCCCTCGGGTTAAGGTTGGCAAACTGTTAACTATTCTCCCTTGTAGTCACAATCTGTCTATTTTTGTTGTTCTCCCATTGCACGACTTTTATTCCTTCGACAATTTTCACAAAATTCTTAACTTCGATTCCTTCCCGGGTCATCAGCCACCTGCAATCCACCATCAACCAGAAAACAAGCCCCTGCTTTTCCGTCTTCCAAGCCACTAAACGAAAGCTACCCCGCTGATTCGTTTTTCCCGCGCTGTTTGGATGGAATGCTTCTGCCAAAGGAAAAAATTAGCCACCTGCTATTTTTGTCCTAGGCGAGGAAGAATCTTGTCAAAGATTTTGATCTGTTGTCGAGGAACTCTCTAACACTTTGTATTATGATTTGACAGCCCTTCTACTCCTCATCATACAACTTCTAATCACAAGACAGACCGCTCCTTTTGATCGTTGGGTCCTTTTTGGATTTTTGCTCCGATACCAATTGTTAGACAGGACCAACCGACCAAATCAAAGCAAAGTAGAATATTTTATTGATGTAAAAACTGTACAGGATTATTTGTGTTCACTAAATATATATAGAGAACAGACCAACATGACTTTTACTAACCAACACAACTATTACAAACCAACACACCTATTAACTATAGAAACTACCCATAACTGCCTTTTAGAAACTGCCCTATTGTTTTTTTTATTTAAATTAATTAAATATGTAAAACACACTAAACGACACCACACTAATTGACTCTATACTAACTGACCCAAACATCGACTCATTACTCATTCGGTTATATGTGAACAAACCCGATTAAATCTAACAAAAATAAACATTTACTCCGTAGTATTTTGTATACAATACGAGTATAATTTATAAAAGGTTCAGGATAAAGTGTGTATTAAAAGAAAACCTATATCTTTTGGTCCAGCCTATAGGCCCATAGGCGCTAGGCTGTTTGTGCCCAGCACCATTTAGAGCATTGATTAACGGTTAACATCAAATACTTAGTTCAATTGTCCAACTAGCCAATATAGTGAAAAAGCATACAGGATACCTGCTTGTTTCCCCTAGATCCAAGATGAGGTGTGGCAACAGTGACAAAATTCATAGGTTCCAAACCAGCAATTCTTCCATTTGATTCTTCTCCCAGGGAATCTGTAGATAACCCGTCTATAGTTTCCCTTATTGGGGGACTATATAGTCTGCCAATGGTATATCTAGCAACAAGCCCTCCAACAGAATGCGCAACAAAAGAAATCTTCCGTAGCCCGGGCTTTTCTTTTATTAAATCAAGAACCTACACATAGAAACTGTTTTAAGTCTGTTGGCCGGAGTGCTAAGATAATTATAGCAAGCCTATTTATGGACAAACCTCCTGCGCTAATCTCTCGCCCATAATATCAACACCGTCCAATGTTAGCATAGCCATGTTACGTTCACTACCTGCAAAACAAGCAATGTTTTCTCAAAGAAATTCAATAACACCCCATGAATGAAAAGTAACGAATGCATAGAGAAAGAGAAGACCTCTGAGAAAATTTATGGGATAATGAGCTTACAGTGAACAAAAACTTTGTCAGGGAGTGTTAAGACGAATTGCTCTGCAGCAAATTTCCAATCCGTGGTACTGCGGTAACATAAGAAAACATCAAAACCACCACCGCTGCCTCAACCCCAACTACTAGAGTACTAGGGAAAAATTTTAGTACCGATTTACTCCATTTTTTTTAATTAATCAACACTTTAAACTCATGCAAACATCGTATTGCCACTTGTTTATGCCAGATTCTTCCTATGGCAACCTTCATAAAGAGTAATAAAAGAACACAAGACAAAAAATACTTTGACTAGTTAAGCAATGAGCATTTCCTTCTTGAATAACGTGAATCAAGAGAAAAGAAGCATTTGATTGGCTCGCTAGAAATAGTCAGTTGATACATGAAGTCCTGAACACTTGCATTATGGTTGCTTAAACAATAAGTGTCTAATAAATCATATATGCATTAACCCAATAAATCTTAACCAATACTCCGTAGAACATAACCATGAAAAAAGAGTGCACCAAATCATTCTGCTTGGAACCACATCTATATTCCCAAAAGATTCATGCCAGAAAAGCAGAAAAAATTCAGAAGATACTGATCCATATCCAAGAGAAGCAGCAGCAGCAATAAGCACAAAAGAAGAGAAGCTAAAATACTGAAATATATGGCTTTCAGCCATTCAAATGGGAGTTAACATTTAACAAGGAGAGAACAAATTGAATTTGCTGTTACTGTTTTAAAAAAACAAACTTTAAAGGACTGATTAAACTTGGAAGTGCAATTAGGAAGAAAACCTCTCAGTTCCATAGAGTAATACACACCACAAGAGCTTCTACACAACAGTCTACTGCTACCTAAAATTTATACACTTTCATGATTAGGAAGCGAGAACAAAAACCCAGTTTTTCTCCAATTCCGTTGAAAAAACACAGGCTCAAGCGGAGACATTTTTACCTTCCGAGAATACCGTGGACCATGACAACAAGATGATCGGCGGAAGAAACGTCGGATTCCTTACAGCTGTACACATCTTCGCCTCCGTTCACCGATTCCGACAGGCACACAGTTCCACTGTTCTTCACTTCCATGTCTTGTTCTCCTTCGCTTTGAATCGTTTTCCCCCAATTTCAACTCAATCTCTCATTTGATGCTGAAACTTGAAAGCCGTGAGAGAATCGTGGTTGCTCCAAATCATCGAAAATCCTCCGGAGAAGGAAGAAATGGGAGTGGGGAGTCGGGAGAGACACGCCTAGGAATGAGGGAAGATGACGATGACGTGGCAGGCCATGAGAGTCCAAATAAAGAGCTGAGAAAATGGCTTTTTTAAGGTTATTTTTATTTTTGAAGGAGAAGCATATGAACGGGGGGCAGGGAAATTGAAAATATTAGTTGGAAGTTGGAACCAATCCTAAATTAATTTTGCTTCATATGATTGGATTTTCATTTGAATGGTTGCTAATTCCACATATTTTAGCTAAATTTGTCCCATTTATTTCAAATTTATAAATTTATTCCTAAAAGTTTAAACAAAAAGAAATACATGTAATTGTAATTTAAGGATAAGTTTGTCTAGTTCTCAAAAATAAGATGGTTTAACAAAAAATAGGGTAGATTTAGCAGTATTTTTTTTACATTCATGAGTCCATATTTTTTCCATAAATTAAAGGTTTAGACTTAAGAGTGCATTTTGAGATAAGTCTGACAAGTGAATATTCTATGTCTCACAAAAATTTTCTCAATCACAATTTAAAGATCGTGTTTGAATAACTTTTATTTCATTAGTCACAGTGCCAAAACATAAAAGTAATTTAAATGGTTTATCACATGAATGTGTGACAATTTGTAGGACTAGAATTTAATACTCTCTCCGTCCTAAATCAACCTTCCCGGTTTGACTTTAGCCCATTTTTAAGAGAAGACTAAAATGACTTTGACTTGACAAAAACACCCTTCTTCTAAACTTGGAAAAGGGGGATTAGAAGTCTACAAAACAATTTGGAGCAATCCCACCCCACTTCGGAGCAACCCCAGCAATAGCTTGCCTGAAACCATTTTGCAGCAAGCCAAAAATTGGGCAAATGTCACCAAAGTCAAAGCCACTAACGTATCTTGGCAAATCTCATAGGAGGCAGTCATGTAGCAGCCAATAATAATGACGGTCTCTTTGCGACTTACTACTCAGCAACGGGGCGCTCTGCTCGGCGACAATGGAAGCAACGATTAGATCTATTTTTTGACGGAGAAAAAATTAGATCTAGATATTGAAGGAAAAAGAAGATAAGATCTAGATTTTGAAGGAAGAAAGATGGAAATGATTAAGCCTAGGTTTTGATAGAGATGGAGGAAAGATGATGATAAAAAATTGTTGTGAATGAGAGAGAAGAGAGAAGAAAAGAATGTAGATGGTGACGAGTGAGAGGGAGAGACCGATGGAGAGAAGGGGGTAACAAAGTCTATTCACATTCTTTTTTAAGAAGTGGGAAGGTAGTTTTAGGACGGAGAAAAAAAAGAAGTGAGAAGATGGTTTTAGAACAAATGGAGTATGATTCTAGATAGTAGATACTCTAATTCCATTGGGCATTTCAAAGGTAATGAGTTAATTTATTAGAAAATCCAACAAACGTAATGAGTTAATTTATAATCCTTCTATTCACATTTAAGTGAAAATTATATTTTCTGTGATATATATCAAAAGTTGAATGAATAGTGACATTCATCATATCTAGATTCATTCAACTTTTGATGTATCTAAAAAAATCATAATTGTCATCAAGCGTAATTGAAGGGAGTAGAAGATATACAGTTATACTCATTTAAAGGGAAGATTAAAATCATATTGGTATGTGAAATCTTGCGCACTGCAGAGAAAGTCATATTGTTGTCCCTTGCACTGCTCAATGAGAGAGGCGTATACTTAAAACCATGCTTGTTGAGAATTTAATTTTCATTTTTGTCAAATATTATCATTTTTTTTTTAAAAAAATGGAATTAGTTCTTGGATCAAACAAGTGGGTTGTACACAATTTTATCATTTTTAAATTCCGCGCAGGAAAAAGAAAAGAAAAAGAAAAAATTACGGAACAAATAGGAACATGAGGAGGAGACATATAGTGTAAGAACATTTCTCAGAGAACATGTGGGGGTGGCCCAATGTTATTCTTTAACGAACAAAAAATGGCACTTTGTTCCTGTCATAATCCATGAAATTAAACACATACCTACAATTTCTACATGAAAAAACGTAGCAAGGTACATTTTATTTTTCACTTCTCTTGTTGGGAAAGCTTCGCTCAGTTTTACTTCTTGTTAAATTCAGTTTTAAATTTGTTTAGTTTGTTATTTCTGTTAGTGGCGTGGCTTTCTTTTCTCTCTTATATAAATACTGTGTATGGTTTTAATTCCAAGATAAGTTTTTCTCTCTACAAAATTCTATCATCAATAAAGAATGATTTTCTTCTTTTCTTTCATTCCTCATGATTCTTCATCGCCATTTCTGTGTCAAATTTTTCAAGGAATTCATCATATCTATCTTAAGGTTGTACCATAGTCTCGTCTTAATTCTAGCTAAGACGCAGGTGAGTAGTAGAAACTCCTTAGGAAGTTGAGTAAACTAAAGTAGAAGTTACCGCCTTCTTTTAAGACCTTCTTAAGTAGGAAGACTAGGAGACATAGAGGTAGGTAGACTAGTAGGTCCAAATTAGGACTTTTCGACTAAGTTTGAAGGTGAGGGTTTTGGATCTTGGCAGAAATCCATTAAAATTGCCTTATCTGTCAAGAACAAACTCGATTTTGTCTATGGAAGGATTGAGAAACCTCATAATGATCCTGCGAGACTCAGTGCCTGGCAACGATGTAATGATATGGTGACTTCATGGATTTTGAATGTCCTAAGCAAGGGAATTGGTGACAGTGTTCTATACGCAGACACAGTTGTGGATCTCTGGAACGAGCTTGAAGATCGATTTGGACACCATTCCTAATTCATCCCAACAGAACTTCAATTTAGTATAATAGGAAGCTATGTCTGAATTCCCTTGTGCAATTGAACAAACATTCTTCTGAAGCTGAATATCGTTCCATTCGCAGAGTTACTGCTGAATTAGTTTGGCTTTCTCGTCTCTTCTCTGATTTGGGTGTTCCAGACATTACCCCTATTCCAGTTCGTTGTGATAGCAAGGCAGCCATTTATATTGCTACTAATCCTGTGTATCACGAACGTACTAAACACATCGAGTTGGATTGTCATTTTGTACGAGAAAAATTACAAGATGGCCTCATTACACTTCATCATGTTCCCAGCTCTGCCCAAATTGCTGATCTCTTCACTAAGAGTCTTCCTAGTGCTGTGCATAATCATCTTGTTTCCAAGTTGGGGGTTCAAGCTCCCTCCAACTTGAGGGGGGGTGTTGGGAAAGCTTCGCTCAGTTTTACTTCTTGTTAAATTCAGTTTTAAATTTGTTTAGTTTGTTATTTCTGTTAGTGGCGTGGCTTTCTTTCCTCTCTTGTATATATACTGTGTATGGTTTTAATTCCAAGATAAGTTTTTCTCTCTGCAAAATTCTATCATCAATAAAGAATGATTTTCTTCTTTTCTTTCATTCCTCATGATTCTTCATCGCCATTTCTGTGTCAAATTTTTCAAGGAATTCATCATATCTAAGAATTCCAACATCTCTTTGTTTATCCATTCTAAAATAATCTTCATATCCTTTTTATTTTGATTTCCTAAAAAAAATGTTTGAGTTATGGCTCAAATTGTTTTTTATTCTTCAACGTTTTCTTAAACTATGTCCAGTCAAATCATGAAGTTTATTTTAGGACGGAGAGTATTACAAAATCACATGATATGTACGCATATTTTTACTCCCTTCGTCCCAAATTATCTTCGTGTATGAGATTGATTTTATTTTTGATAAAGTAAAACTTGTGCAGTTATCGGTCCAAAAGGTGGAATCGCCCACCCCAGGTGCCCCCACCCCCTTGCCCGACAGGAATGGTGGAGGATGTAAATCATGGTAACCACAAAAACTTGTGCAGTTATGGTTTGTGTAGAGGAAAGAAAAATAATACTGACCACAAAAAACTTTTCTTAAAGAGAAAATGGAAGAGAAATTTAGACCAATACAAATAGAAAAATAGAAATTTTGATATTTCTATCAGCTACAAGCATTCATTGTACTTCAATAAGACTAGACTTAGATGAGCTCATTTCATTCAGAAGCTTGTTTGGGCTTGGCCCTCTTAGGTCTGCTTCAGATCGGGCCAAAAAATTCTCAGCTCGACAACTCCGGTTGTATTACCCAGCAGACTGGTCCGACGGGCCTAGCCCAGATGGGGGTAGAAAGTGAGGGCTTAGCAATAACTATACAAAGTCAGAACTGTGTGAAGATCCATTTCAAGAACCACATAGCAAAACATTTTGTAAAAGCACACACCTTTCTTAGCAGCTAAACTTCAGGTCCAGTAGCAAACATAGTGATGAGGCCACGGAAAACTTGGGCCGACAGTTGATGGGCCCGGAATGGCTCGCCGTCTATGTTCCACACGCTCTCTTTTCCAAAAGAAGTGAAAGTAAAAACCGTTGTCTGCACGAGTTGCCTGTAGATAGTCAATGCATCTATGGACAAAAAAAGAGGAACTTCAAGGTATAGTAAGAATGAAGCAATACCTTGCAGTGTTCAACAAATTGAAAATCCAAGGGATTCCCGCCTTTTTTTGCTAGCTGCGTAAGATGCCTGCGCGTATTGTTGTCATTGGTATGGATTGATATGGGTAATTTGATTGGTGTGAAATAAGATATCGAATAAGCTATTTAAAAGAGTCTGCCTTTCATTGATGTCTACAATGCTAATATGTTATCTAGTCGGTATTTTAGATACTCCATCATAATTGGTTCCCCGCGGTTCTTTTGACACTGGTTTTGGGTGTCATAATATGACACATGGGTGCTACAGTGCTCCATTGGGCCTCGAAGTGGGTCTTATCCCTGCTAACCTTCATCCCCCTATAGCATTTTGGTGTTTTCCGGCGGGTGGGGGGGCTAGTGAGGCAAGACCAACTTCGTGACCCAGAGCCTTAATGGTTGGTGTCATAATATGACACACAAGGTGGGTGGGGGGCTAGTGAGGCAAGACCAACTTCGTGACCCAGAGCCTTAATGGTTGGTGTCATAATATGACACACAAGGTGGGTATCAATAGAACGTACATCTCAATGCACAAAAGCGAGAGCGCGGACGACTAAAATCCGAAGTGAGTGTTTCACATGAGGTGTGCAACCCATGTGGTAACATGGGTTGTCTTTTTAGTATCCCTCATATGAGAGAGAGAGAGAGAGAGAGAAAGAAAGAAAGAGACCATAAATAAGAAGCATGAGGGCAATCTCTGATCAATATAAGATGTAAGAAACCATCTGAAAGATGAGCATCGGCCACAAGTCCATCGGGAGCTTTTTCGTTGCGACAAGATATTATTGCACAACCTATACTCAGAAACCGTCCTTTAGACTTCAACCATTTTCTTGACGAATATGGCTCTTCGTCCGGTCTCTCCTCTCTCCCTGCTGATGTGTCACTAGCTTTTGAGTTGCAAACAGTGCAGTTCACACGGCAAACATTTCTTTCCTGCTTCTTACGTGCAAGTGCTGCTTTCGTCCTATTACGACCCGCTACACCTCCCTCTTCGCCTTTCTTTGAATCTGCAGCTTCCAAATATGTGACTTCTGCTTCATATGAGCTTCAAGAAAGAAATACTATAAAGGTCCTTATGAATGCCCCAAAAATAATCTTCCTATTTTCCCTTTTTGTATGTCCCAAAAAAAAAATTCTACTTTATTTCCTTTTAAAGAAATGAACACACGGCTCACAAAATTTATATTCTATAAACAAAAATCATTTTCACTTTTCTTAAACTTCGTGAAAGTCCAAGTAGGAAGTTTTTTATGGGACGGAGGGAGTAATGAAAAACATTCGTATTGAAGAGAGAAATCCTAGTAAGCATACCTGTGTCGGAGGAATACTTTAGTTCCTGCAAAATCATATCTTGTTGGGCCCATCCAGCGATATTTTTCACTTTCTGTGATTACGTCTCCATAAAATCCATACCCAGCAAAGGACGCTGCATAGCGCTCAGAGGGTTCATCATCCTTTGAGGTGGATGATAATTTCCATCTTATAACTCGAGCAATATCAAGGCAGACACTTTTGCCAAGCACAATTTGCAATGCAGATGTTATATGATCCCGAGCACCTGTGGTACTGCAGAAGCCAAAGCCATTTGAATTTTTAAACAACAATGGGGGTCAAGATGTACGCAATCTTACCACTGTAAAATCAGAGAGGTTGTCTCTGTTAGACCCTAGATGCATTGCTGCATTTAATGTCCAAAACTTTATAGAGTAAGAAGCAAGGGAAGTTTAATGTGACTTTTTCAAAACAAAAGGCAACTCTGATTTACTTCTCATTTGAAAATTCTTGATTGAAAGAACATATCAAGCATTACAGTAAAGGCTTGCTTTACTTACATACTCCCTCCGTCACAAAAATATTTACCCACTTTTCCTTTTTGGATGTCCCAAAAAACACTTCCCACCTACTTTAGTTCCTTTTTTAGTAATGAAGTAATGAACATGTGGCAACCATACACTTATCACTCGACACTTTTCGTGAACTCTGTGAAAGTCAAAGTGGGTAAATTTTTTTGGGGACGGAGGGAGTATTAATTGAAAACCCATAAGTGAAACAATCATTGTATTGTATATAAAATATAGGTTGAATGGTACTATGGACTAAACACACAAGCTAATAAAAATCAGTCAAATACCAGATAACGATGGCATCGGTGGATCCTGCTGGAATTATCCCAAACCTGAAATGTTCATTCGGAAATAAAAAAGAATCCCCATCTGTTTGTCCAAACCATGACAAAACCAAAGTTCAGAAATGAAGCAAGATCTAAATGAAAGTTTGGTTAACAAGTTTTTAGGAATCACAGATGAAAGAAGACTTCTTGATATAACCCACAAATTCAGTTGACAGCCGTGAACAATAAACTAACTAACCTCCCTTGCAAGTGACTCCTGCAAACATCAATACATTTGCATGACAACAATTTTGCAGACATTTGCATCGTGCAAAAGAGAAACTGCGAGTAAAATTTACATGCTGAGATGTTTGTACCTTGCCTTCCATCAAGCTCAGAATGAGGGAGAAGAGGGGAGCGGTCTTCATTATTATTATTATTATCAGAAGGTTCTGCTATGTTTCCATCTGTATCATGGACCGTCACATTGCAACCATCGTTGACAGGTTGAATAGATTCTGCTGGGTGTGGTGGGTATGGAGCTTTATGCCTGGACAAAAGAAGGCCATTGAGGATTTCATTGAAGAACCCATCTCCACCCTGGTATTGCAGTAAATAATATTAGTATTAGAATATTAGTAAGAGTTTTCTATTCGTATTGGTATTCTACAACAACAACAAACCCAGTAAAATCCCACAAAGTGTTGGGTCTGGGTAGGGTGTGTGTACGCAGACTTTAACCTACTCGGAATTAGTGAGGTTGTTTACAAGAACCCCGGTCTTAAATAAAGGGGCACAGACAATGTAAACACAGTACCACGAGCAAAGTGAGGCGGGCACAGAGACAAGAAGCACCCAGAAGCACTAATATTTTTAAGAGCATCATTGAAATCGATTATGACTCAAGTTACTTGCACATTGATAATATCACAAATAGTGTACATTGGGGAGTAAAACTTTGTGAAGTTATAAGTTCAGAGACTACATTTCTTACTTCAAATGATTGGTACAAAGGCCCTTCTAAACAATGGAGTAAGCATTAATGACTCAATGAGACAAGCTATTTTAGAATCAAGACTACTTCCAGCAATTCGAGAAGCAAGACTACTTTCCACAAACATCATCAAATAAGGAAATACAATTCCAAGCTTGATTATATAAAACTGACAAGTTTGAGTCTCTAGGGTTTTGACAAGGACGATTCTCTTCTGTGTACACTCTATCATATCACAAATGTGCTTATAACAAATTACCAAGAGCATTAATTACTCTTTTTACAACTTTAACCCTTCTTGGGCTTTGAAGATATAACTAATTATGGAGTACTTTTTCCAACTTTCAATTAAGGGTTGGATAGTCATTTTGTATATTTTGTACCTATTAAATGGCATTCTTAATCTATTTGTTCAAACCTTAAGTCAAGCTGTGCTTCAAAAACTAAAGCTATAGAATAGAAAGTGATTTCACTTACAACAGCTACCACACCATCATATGAATGAAGCTCCTTGTTTGAGATGGATGCCATTACATCAAACGCTTGTCCTGCTCTCTCTGTTACAGTGACCTGCATGAAGAATGTTGAGGATATATTTTAAAGATGCATTGTTTTAAAATATGTTATTCAGAATATTAAATTCTTATAAATGAAACTAATATTTGTTTATACTCTTATGACATCAGTCCATTTGAGGGCCCTACGGGGTTAGAGGGGTAGGAACCACTTCGGGGTCAAATGAAGCACTGCAGAGCCCTCAAATGGACCTATTGGCATATTAAGACACCAGAGTTGGGTGTCAAAAGAACCCTGGTGCTTAGAAAAATATAAAATAATGATAAGTCCGTGGTCTCGACACCATTGAACTTTAGGCCTAGCTCCATTCCTGCTAAGAAGTAACAGAAAAGAAGCTTAGAAGTTACCTTTGTCTTCACTTCAGCTTGTGAAAATATAGGAGCCACAGCTTCCCATGTTCTACACCCATTTCTCTTCCCACTCCTTGGATTAACAAAAACCTAGTCAATCAAAAACGAAGTCTGGGAAAAATCTTACAGATTTATCTTATTTGTAGTGTAATTAAGAGGGCTTCTAAATTCCGAAAAGTAATTTATCTTATTGTAGCATTACAAGTCACTTAACACATACCAGAAGACTTTTAGGTCGCCCCCCCTGCAAGCCTAAAAAAGATCTGATCCGATTAACCCACACCCGGCAAGTCAGCAGGTCCTTGTGGCCAAAGTTATAACGTGACATGGCCAAAACACTACTGCAGTTTCTTGACTTCTGAGCATAATGTAGAGAAAACCGATACATCTGATGTGTCAAATAAAAAATTCAAAGCAAACTAAGACATAAGGAGAGGAGTAGAACGATAACCCATTGTTTGGCAATATAAGAGAACGAGAAAAGGAACCTCAAATGAATGGCCAGAGAATAACCGAGCAGCATTTTGAAGAGAACATTCATGTACCACGCCCCAACCATTATACTCAACAGCATATACATCACAAAATTTCACACTGGTTTCACATCTGCGGAATAGTTTTAATCCTAAACAAAGAGATTGATCCTCCTCCTGTCATACATATTACATAGGGTGAAAATGTTAGCATTATATGATCAGTAACGCTGAAAACAGTGAAAAGTAAAAAAACAAAAAAAAACAGCCATATATAACTAGAGAACAGAAAAATAGCAGCCAAAGGGCAACCTACAAATAGAGTGCATTTCTTCTTCCAGACTACCATTTACAGCTCTTCGAGCTCAATTTGTAGAAAAAACACTCATATTTTCATAAACATTAACACCAACTACTCACACGTGGCAAAAGGGCATGAAATGGAGAGGAAAAAATCACATGTTCAATGTACAAGCTTACGTTAGACATAGATTCAGGTGATCCCCAAGACAAGCCGTCGGAGTCCAGGGCGACAACAACCTCGCCGACGCCGTCCAAGAAGAGATTTGAGCTCAAGACTGAGCCTTGAGAATCAACATCAGCAACCGGATGAGAATCTCCCGCCGGCGATGAATCGCCGTAGCTCCCCATCATTTGGAATTGTGTTTTTGCGACTTTCTTGAGATATGATGTCTGGTTTTTTATTTGAGCAGAAAATCCCACCGGCTTACCAGGAAGAAAACAACAAATCTGGGTATTGATCTTTGTCGTCAACGCTCTAAATGGATTTTCCTGAAATTTTCGTCCTAAGCTCATTTGTTCAATTCCACATACCATTTGTAAACAGTGCTTTTAGAATTAGAATACTTCATCCCTAGTTTGTTTTTCTTGAGTTCACTTTTATTTTAATTAAATTCACTATTTCTATCCTCAAATTTGGATTTCTCCTAAAGTACTTTTTTATATTTTTAAGGCTAAATTATCATCAATGAATTAGATTTAGGTGGATACTTCCTCTGTTCCACAATGAATGTCATAATCTCCAAAGCGAAGAAAAATATCATGCTTTTTTAATTAATTTTATTCAAAACTTGACATACAAATAAAATGCAAATCTTACTTACGAAGTATTTAAAAACTACGTCAAAAGTTTTAATAAACAAAATGTGACAAAAATTTTATTTTATCAAATTAGTAATGAAAAACACAAGTAAACAAAAATTATCATGAATTTTGAATAGTGTAGAGAGACATTTATTGAGAGAGAAAGGAAGTTTAAGAGCATGAGCAATGATGAGGCAAAATTGGAATACCACACGCTGACGTGGAACATTTCAACCAATGAATAATAATCCAGTTAGCGTGTGACAACTGAATGGAGTGGCATGCCCTGTAGTGGCAAGTCACTATTTTCATTACCTTTTTCATTTTCTTGCAATATTTGAATTATTAAAAAATATTCACCTATTTATTTTAACATAAAAATATTTATATTTACTGAACGAATGACATTATTAAAATGTATTTTAATTAATAAAAAATATTTTTCTTATATGCTCCATATTTTTATTTATCCCTCCGTCTCAAATTAGATTACATTTTAGAATTATGATGCAAAACTCCTTGTTTTTTATAATCATTTTATTTAAAATTGGTAAAAGAATAAAAGTAAAACTTACAAATTAAAAAACAACATCAAAAAAATAGTTCCACTACATCTAAAAAAAATCTTTCTAAAAAATAAAATAATTCTACTTTGAAAAAATTTGTATTATGCCACAAAAAAACAAAGAAAAAAGCCAAGGAAATGGATTAGTAGACAACAAAAGTGCCTCGCAGCCTACTTGGAAACCGTGGAGGAACGGTATGCACACGCGAGGCAAAGAAAATTTTTTGTCTGAGTTGGCAAGCATGTCATCTCATTTACACGCCATTGCCTTTGCTCTAATACTGCCTTGTTTTTTCCTTAACTATAATAGTATAATCTAGTACAAAAACTTCATCCTAAATTGGTACTTTGTACTCCTTAATGGTTACATATTAGTGCAAGGGACGGGACGGGCAAAATTAAAATTCCTTAATGGTTACATATTAGTGCAAGGGACGGGCAAAATTAAATTTAGTAAATATAGGATAAAAATTAGATATATGATGTTTTTACTTTCAATTTTTTTAAAATGAAAATCGCTTTATTCACAAGTTAATCACTCCCAAACATCTTCTTCTTCCAAACCGTCACACAAGAAGAACCCAAGAACATATTTATAGCAATCAATGAGTAGAAGAGTCACAATCAATTTTTTAAGAATGACTAACATTAATACTCCATAATTGTTAACCTCTTGTAATTTTATTACTACTTTCATTTTCAATTGATTTTTAACTTTCAACTCATCCGTGACAAGTACACATTCTCAAGCTAACCACAAGTGAACACTTAATTACAATGTGAATTACCCCACACAAAAACACGGAGAAAATGAAAACCATTTCGTATTCATAGGTCCACATTTTTTCCATAAATTAAATGTTTATGATGCATTTTGAGATGAGCCCGCAAAGTCAATATTCGTGTATCTCACAAAAAAATTCATCCACTATTTAAACATCAAATTTCAATCACTTTTTTTAATCCCGTTAATCATAGTGCTGGGAAACAAAAATAATTTCAGAGATTAATCACATAAATATAGTGAACAAAAAATTAATAACAATGTGAATTACGTAGTACGGAGTACTCCTAAAATAAACACCAAGAAAACATATATGCATATATGAAAAGGAAAATTGTTTTTGCATAACATTTACCTCACTTTTTATGCCCACACCACTTTTTGTTGCCATACAAACGTGACCAAAATATATGTGAGGGCAAAAATATCATCTATGCAAACTAAACTTGGCGTGAAAAAGTTGTTCACACAGTAAAACACACAGCCATGGCACCAAGACTCACAACAGGATGTATCATGTATGTGAGACCAAAAGTCTTGTTTGTCCAAGCTTGATGTGAACAATGGTGTTAAAAAGTGGTGTACAAAGACCATAACTACATACGGAGTAAAATTTAAGGGATGGGATTGTGGTTATGTCCCCCCTTCATGTTGGCTATTTGTCACAGAAGTAAAATCAATCATCTTCAATCTCCAAAGATGTAAAAAAAAAACTATTTTTCTTATAATCAGACTCTAACCTCCTATCCCCATTGCAAAGAAACAAAAAAAAATTATAATGCTAACCCTGAAAATATGTAATAATGCACAGATGATAGTTGTCTCACATTGGCTTATCAATTCTGCCCAAGTTATTACAATGATCCCAAGAGGGTAAGCGGAGATGAAGCCGGGTGCTTTGTTACCTCCAAACCGTCTCGTTTGCATCCGTAAATATTGCATTATGATGCTCAATCAAGCACTGAAGAACTTCTATTGCACCAAAGTCAACAGGCAAGCCATCATCCAAAGGTATGGGAGATGAAGCATCTATGCTTTCATCCTCATCTGAATGCCCAAGAAGGTAATACCACAACAACAACAACAACAAATCATTTAGTAAGTTTGATTATCACAGAAGTGCAATATAGTAATTATAATGGGGAGTATCAGGCTCCGTTTGGTTACATTTTCTTCATAAATGTTTTCTCATTTTCCTACAAAGATTTTCGTGTTTTTTCCCGTGAACAAATCTCTTTCACACAGCAATTCATAGTAATAATGGGATCAAACGGAACCTGAGAAACAAGAATGGATAAAAGAATGTATCGTTCACCTGCAAGCATATCCCATGTGCTGTAGTTAGAATCAGACTCTGTCTTTGAATGTTTTTTTGGTAAGCTGCTCCAGAACTGTTTATAATAGTTTGGACTCCTTCCTTGTTGCCACATAATGATCGGAGCCATTTCCATGGCAAGGCTTCGAGCATCCATCTGCCACAACAAACCATGAGACTAAGAGCAGAAAGACATATAGGTAACATGTAGATATAATATTGAAACCCAAGAGCAAGATACAAGATATGAAGGGAATTCCCGAACAAGTCAAGCAGCTATACGCAAACTGCACTTCAAAAGTCAATCATACAAGCGGGGAGCAACTTACACAAAATACGATAAATCACAACTTTGTCCTTAGAAATAATGGATGAAACAACAATAGAATTAAGAGAAAATCGCACTTCAGTCCTCCAATTGTTCAACCATTTATGTAATCAAGAACACGCCTTACATTTGCAGATTTAGACACTAATTCAGTTAGAATTTGTCCCTCCCATTAAAATTACCATTTACGCCATTAAATACTAGGGCTTGTGTATGCATTCTCGACATTCTATGGTGATTTTATCAGGAGGAACTAAGTACAGATCTCAATGATAACACATTAACAGAATTGATATGAAAGACCATGCTCACAAAAACCAAAAACCATGTCCTATATTTCTCCTGAATAAATTAACAGTACTCGTGATCGAGCAATTGGAGTCAAAGAAAATGTTGCAACTTGTTTTTGGAACAGATTGCCCCTCCGCCCCCCAAATGCACACACTCACACATATAGATACCATGGGGTTGAACAAGATATGGCCAAACAGAAATCAACTGTCAGGTCAACTCAAAATCAAACTGTCCATGTAACATTTCAGGGCGTTACAGTCCAAAACCAAACAGATCTAACCATAGGCAATACACCTCTCCTACCTCATTGACAGGAGATTTGTGGCTAACACGGAGAAACAATGCAGTAATCAGTTCCAATGTCATATAGTTGACAGTGGGAAGCTTCTTCAATATATTTCTCATTTTGGGTATGCTAGAGCGGGACACTCTGATTTCTTCATACAAATAGAAGGTCGTCAATGGCTCCTGTAGGCTTGCAAGGTAGCACTTTATAAGAGCCGCTACATCAAGGGGGTTTACACCCTCTGGTAGTGATGCATTTGGATCTGTACACATGAAAAAAATATTTTAAAAAATTTATCAGTAATGGTGTGTTTGGACTTTGGATCACAGAAAATGCTAGGGAAAGGAAATAAAAATTGCTATAGATAGTTATTTGCTTACGTTTTGTTTTACCTTGGAAAATCTAAAGGAAAAGGAAATATAATACTCCACGTACAAAAAAAATTAAAGTTTACACACACTAACACAGATCTCTTAGTATTTATAATAAAAGAGATTTAATCAAGTTTTAGCCTATGCTTTAAATCCCCCCCCCCCACACACACATTCTTAATTTCCTTCTAATGTTCATCTATGCTTTCATTACAATTTTTCCCTTAAATCTTCCGGGACTCGCCCAGGTCCTTGGCAGAATAAGCTCAAACCAAACCATAGTCCTAGACCCCTGGCAGAATAAGCTAAAATCAAACCAGGCATGCCCAGTTAATCCCACTCGGAGGTAGGGTCTGGAGGCAAGATGTAAGCATACCTTACCTCTACCCCTAACTCATTGAGTAGAGAGGTTGCTTCTGAAAAGGTCCGAAATAATCAAGAGGTCCAACAAGCTCCAAATTAAGTCAGATGGACAGATACCTTCATTATATAATGCAACCAAGTTCCGAAGAATCTTTCTATCTCCTTCAGACTTGAATAGCCCCCGAGAATTTAATCCTACACCAAAGAAGGAAGATGTGGTCATCAAATCATTTCATCTTCAATGAACAAGATCAGAAGTCCAATTTATGGGGTTGCTCCGTCACCTGATAAGACAAGATGATCTGCACAGTTGACCAATATATATGGGATAGGCCTGGTGGATTGTTGGCGGTGAACAGTTATTTCAATGGGAACTCCAAAAACTGTTAAGACAAATTGAATGCATAAAATGAGTGAAGTCTCTCCAGAAATCATGGACAAGAAGCATAGGCAATGACGAGCACCCATAGCACATATGAGGCAAATATAAATGGGTAAAGCGAGGCAATCAACAAAAACAACCCAATATAATCCCAACTTTGTTGGGATGTGAGGGTCAAGCTGCACACAACCTTACCCCTGTAAATTAGAGGGAGACTGCTTCTGTTACTCTTCACCAATTTCTGCATTTACTACCCAAAACTTCATTGAAATTTAGAAGTAAGAAGCAAATGAAGTTGTAAAATGTCATTTTGATTTAGTACATTAGTTACTTAAGCTAAAACATTGTTAAATGCATCTCCTTTAGCTCCAAATAACCTAGAGGTTCAATGAGCTCCAAAGTGAGGCAATAAATTGGGGAAATTAATATGAATCAAGGGCCCTCTGGTAAGGGTTATTTGGCTAAAATGACTGAAACAGTTGTATATGTAATATGTGGAATTTTCTGAAACAATAAGTTTTTTGTAAAAAAACATATTTTAGCCAAATAAACAAGTTAAAAGTTACTTGTTCTGCCCAAAACTGACTACCAAACAGAACCCAAATCTGGTCTGATTTTCCTGATTAGGTGTCTCCAAGCAAAGGGAAGGTTATGATCATCTTCCTTCCCCACAAAAATAATTTCCTTAATTATTAGTCTGAACTACTCGTAGAACTTAAGAACGCCATTGAAGGATTAACATTAATGTATGAAGTGGTATAGACATCAGCATAGGCCAATCATACAACATACCATCAGTGCTTGCAACACCCTACAAACGGAAAAAGGGAAAGACATCATTCTTTACACTCCAATCCACAAAGTAACTACTTAGGAAAAGAAAAAAAAGGTGTATATACCTTCTGCCAACGCTCAATATCAGTCAGCAGGGTCTTACTCTTTTGTGCAGTTTTCTTTGCCACCTAAACCACAATATGATGGTTGTGATGCATGGTCAAATGTAGAAAAGTATAACTTCTTTATGTGAACTAAAGTAGTGTGCGGGTTCCTATCCCTCCTTTAGTCACTATATTTGCTAAGGCAATATCCAGCTAACCCCGTACTTGGGTAACTGGTAATGACATGACTCTTATTACTTCGTCAATTCCCTTTTACCCGTCCATGTATTTATCATCACTCTTTTTCCCCTAAAACATGAAGTTATATGCTGCATAATTTCCTTCTTGGTTAGTACCTCTTCAACTTTTGTCTTCCCAACAGCAACCTTATCCTTTGTCTCTGACAATCCCTTTCTCAAGAACAAGCTCGTGGTAGCAGCTGCAGAAATGAAACGCTCCTGGATAGCTTGTCTTGTAGCCGGCTGCTGCAGAGATGACCAACGGCTCTTGACAATAGACCCAACCTTCTCTGCAACCTCAGTGACATTTCCCTTTGCATCTTTGGCGACCTCCCCCAAAGCCGTCCCTGCAGACTGCCCGGCTTCTTTAAGCTTGGCCCCTACACACAGAAGAGATAATAACAACGGTGGATTCGCGATGCAAGTGAAAGTCAAAACAGGTCAAAGATGAGTTGCAATTACCAGATGACTGGAAAAACAAACTAGCCTTGTCTTGCCACTGAGGTGAAACAGCAGAAGGCATTGACGTTTAACCAACTACTACGATTATCAGCTACAGACGAAATCAAAGTTCACCTACACGGAACAGAACACACATGAGCCAACTAACGGATGTAAACAGATTTTTATAATGATCCACTCCAAACGCTGATATGTTTTCTCACTCTAACAACAAATCCCATGAGAATTCAAAATTCCATGAAAAACTAACACAAAATAATAAATCTAAACACACAAAATAAGAACCCTAATTTCAAATTAACGATACACAATTAAAGCTAGGATAAAGCACTTGATCGGATATGCAGAACGTAGAAAGTAGATTTTCCCCCCTCCTCCGTCTA